AAAGAGTGATGTGCTCAAAAGTCTAGAAGTGAAAATGAACAAGGCTGGAATTCAGAGGGTAAAGGGGCCAGGGACAAGAGGTGAACCTAGAGAGGTATGAAGGGGCCGGACTCGGCAGGGCCTTGAGCACTCTGGGAAGGAGGTGACGATGGCCTAAATCTAAGCCGTGGCCTCGAGGATGCGGTGCCCAGCCTCACTCCACCTAATAGCCTCAATGGGATTATATTGCTTCACACTCCCCAGGCATGCCGGGCACTCCCGGGCTGTCGGGCCTTTGCACAAGCTGTCCTTTCTCTCTTGAGTGCCTCCTCTGTCCCTTACATGGACTTATGTAAGGCGCCTCTCAAAGATCTCTTCCTGTACAAACCCTCCCCAACCCCAAGACTGAATCAATCAATCAGTTCCTACGCCATGCACTTACTTCTTGTAATAGAGACTTTGTGGAGAGGAGGATGTCTGCCCAAATTAATTATCTGACTTCTTTCAGAATCACCCCTCTCGGTGGCAGCCAAGCGGCTACGTGCAGGCAATGTGACCATGTGCCTTGGGCATCGCTGACCAAGTCAGGAGAGGACGCTGGAACCAGGTCTTGCCTCTCTCACTCAGAAACCAAGGCTGAGACATGCTAGTAGGTCCTGACATGTGCTTTATCTGGGGGGACATTTAAACTTGGGATCTATGGGCTAGGCGACCTCTCCATTGTATTGAGAAGTACAGAAAGCTGAGCAAGAAAACCAGTGGCTTCCGTGGTTCTTGACAACTTTCCAGTACCTTGTTCTAGTCACTCACGATCCCTGACCAGATGTCATGGTGCTAGGGATTTGAAGACCCCTGTATCCTTATGACTCATCCCAACTCTTGGTGTGAGCTAGTTGGAATGGGTTTCAGATACTGCCATCCTGAAAAAGATACTCTTTTTAGAGCGCTATTGCCTTTATACAGAAATTACTCACTTCTGTCCTAAAATCAAAGTGGATACATATGTGACATGGGGGCTGTCACTTTCAGAGCCAATTCCAGATGAACACATGACCACAGAGTCACAGTACTCTTTATCTGGGCCTCACAAGTCACCACCCCAGTGTTCGAGGTGGCCCTGAAAAAATTAACTGGAACTGGCACACAAGAGAAAAGTTATTGGCCATCAATGTTCTAGATTGGAGTCTACTTGAAGGAAGGTATTATGTCCTTTTCATGGCTGTAATCACAGCATCCAGCTTTGTGCTGGACACAAGGGCAGTACGGAAGAATGCTTGTTGGAGGATAAATTATGACTATTATGGTTTAGACCAGTTGCTCACTCTTGCCTCTTCCTTCACCCAAGATACCTTCAGCTCAACAGAAGTACAGAAAGAACTCATTCTTTCCCATTTTAGAAACAAGGTCAGTAATTCAATTAGTAGTGAAGGAGCTGACATCTCGGCCTCAGGTACACACTTACAAGCCATCTCTGCCTATCTATAACTTGTTCTTTCTTCTCCCTGAGGATATGGACACATTTTAAAGTTACATCAATTTGGAGCAACTGTTCCTAAAATCCTTAGAGAATCAGAGCATTCTCTTCTTTCCAAGTTAATTATATACATTCATAAAGTTCGGCCTACTAACTTATTTGCAGATTATTTTGCCAGTGTATCCATAATGTATCACAAATTTATTTATGCAATCTGAAAAAAAAGTGATCTAAATACCATAGGATAATCTGTAAACTTCAGGAACTGTAAATCCTGCAAACTTCAGGAAGTGTAAACTACAGGAAACCTATAAATTTCAGGAACTCTGTCACAGCAAAGCCATGATTATTCCTTTCCCCACTTAGTGTCTCTATCATATACAGACCTTCCCACAGGACATGATCCCCTCCTTGACCCACTGGGGCAAAAAGTCTTTCTGACTACCTTGATAGGCTACAATTAGTAAAGGAACAAAAAGGGCATCTTAAAAATCAGTAACATACCAACTCCATTAACTGTTTGAGCTGACCTATCTCTTCAGGCAGCGATCCAAGTTTGTTGTTACTTGCAATTAAGACTCTGAGAGGCAGACCACACAGGCAGGCCGGCAGGGCGGACAGCTGATTCCGACTGCGAAGAAATAAAAGAACTCTGGTAAACAGGCAGGCTTCTTCATACTGTTTGTGAACATGGTTTTTTTTAACAAACAAGGAGAAAGGAGTGACCGAAGAAAACATTCTGCAAATATAAAAAGTCTGATAAACTTTTATAAAAATGCAAATCCCAAGTGTATAAGAAACTAAAAAATAGTTTTTAAAAAAGAGAGGCATAGGCAGTTGTGAGGGAAACAACTTTTTCCACAACAAGGGACCCTATCAAGCCCCCTGCAGATGCTGAGCTGTTGGCCAGCCCGAGAGCATATGGGCAACACAGGCTGTACCACCAACAGCAACGGGAAGCTGGTGCCTACTGTTCCCTTTCTGACAGTGTGAGCGGGAGATTCAGCGAGGACGAAAGCAACCAGCCCAGCGCAGGGAAGCATCATCGCATCCATCTTAGTAGTGACGAGGAAGATCATTTTGCTGTAACTCACAAAACCACTGGGCCCATTTCCAACATTTTGATTCAGCTTCCTTTTCTTAAAGCAAGAGCTCTGTGGTTAAATTCTGCTTGGGTTATCTGTGAGAGAGCTAATTAAAAAAGAAAAAGGAAAAGTCGGCCTTCTGGCAAAAGTGAAGCTGGAGCCAAGAGGGGTTCCGTTTCACAGAGGAGCCTGAAAAGTGTGAGCCCAGGCCCCACCTCTGCTCTTCACCAAACGGTCTCTTCTCTACTTAATGGTCCACACTGAGAAGTCTTTAAATTTCCCATCATCAACGCTAGTTGACTGAGACAGGAAAATATCGGATAAATGAAATCTACCAAACACCCATAAGGATTTATTTACCTTCCCCTCCACAAGGAGCCCTTTTCCTGCTATCAAGTAAGGAGACAGATGGTTTTCAGTTTCCCTTTCTTTCTCAGCCATTCTGCTGAGGGAGCCAACCACCAGGCAGTGAAATATCTACAAATCTGTATTTGGAACTTCTGCGTGTATTCGCACACACGTGTGAGACTTCGGAAGCTGTGGTACCATGTGTGTATTTGTGGGTGTGCCTATGTCTTTGTGTGTGAGAGACGGGAACAGACAGATAGACAGGAAACACACCAAAATGTTATCAGTAGCCATTTTGGGGGAGTAGGTACAGTGAGTGGATTTTATTTTCTTTATTATACTTTGCTGTATTTTCCAAAATTCCTACAAAGTGCTTTCAGAATTTGGGAAGAAATATCATTATAAGAAGAAACTTCACTTGGATACCGGTTACATGAGTGCTTCTAGGTGTGGAAATTCATGAAGATGTACACTTACAATCTGTGCACTTTTCCACATGTATGTTATAGTTCAGTGGAAGCTTTTACTCCCTCACGCTACCATGTGAGGGGGTGGGTACCTGATTAGGAAAGGGTGTCTCTAATGGACGGGCTCAGAAAAAGCAGGTGCTGTGCTGTCAAAATAGCCTTTCCAACCTGGGTGCCCCCCCCTGTGACCACTGTGACCAGGTGCCTGATGCCAGGTGACCATACTCTAGCAAGAAAATGTAGAGCCATGTCTTCTCTCCCCTGCCCAGATGTGAAAAGAAAGCTCTTTGCAAAAAGGGGTCCACCAGAGGGGAAAGGAGAGTGACAGCCCTGATGGTGGAGGTTGTATCCTGGTGCTGGAAGGACCAGCTGGCTCTTAGCTTCCCCCTGGTTAGGATAACAGGCTAGAATAGGGGCGATGGGCTCGCCCTGACACTCTCTCCTGATGTCTGGGGGCAGCGGAAGGGGAAGCCAGGGCTACCAGGCTGTCTTTCTGTGCTCTCACACCCCTCGCGCTGCCCCCTCTCAGCTCCAAGAGCCCGGTAGGGCTCCTCGGTCTTGAGGAGGGGGGCCTTCCCAGTGCCCTGCTGGGACAGCTTTCTTCAAGCTCCAGAAAAGTTTCCTGAGACACTCCCTCTGCAAAGGAGAACCCAGTTTATTAAAAGGCGGCAAGTAAATAATTTGGCATTTGTGGTTTAAAATATTTCTTAATATACAATTTCACATAGTGAGGACTGCTAAATTAAAACGTTAATACGGTAATCCTCTTACTCTGGAGCCATATTTGAACTTCCTTTGGAAGAGAGGATAACGGGAACAAAGATAAGCATTTTTAGAAATTTCTACGCTATTTTCCACAGAATCAACAATTACAGTTGGAGATCTTTCCTGTGTTTCTCTGCTTGGAAACTCAGATTTAAAGTATTCCCTGTCTCACTATCTCAATGCAGGCATCTAATCAGATTAGCAGGTATTGCAATGGGAGAGCATCTATATACCATTTAAGCAATGCAGTGAAGCTTTTGCTCCTTCAGACATATGAGCATTTGAAATTACATGGGATTATTCCCACTGCAGTTGTTCCAGGAATGGGTACCTAATTTAAAATAAAATTTAGGCTTGTGAAAGCATTTGCGGTTTCTTTGATGGGGATGAATGCTTTTTATGATTAAAGGAGCTGATGGAACAGCCAATTTATTTATGCCCTACACATTCCTCTATCTATACTGTAGTTAATCACCTGTAGGCAAATCGAGATGCCAGGACTAGTCATAATACAGCATGCCACAGGCCTGGGGCACATTTCTTCTATTTCATCTATGGGTTCCCCCAGCCTGTACTTTGTATATTTTATCACAGGATGTTCCTGTATTACTGGTAATTTCCCCCATAGAAAAAGGAAATACACACGCACACAAAAACCCATTAGCTCTCCAGCAAATATTTATAAAGAAGAGGAGAAACTGCACGCCCTTTAATCCTCTCCCCACTAAAGACCACAACAGCAGCCTAAGCTTTTTGAAACTACTCATCTGGTAGCAATTTTTCTCAAGCAAGTAAGTGCCTCAGGCCACAATCCACCACTCTGGCCCCCACTTGTCTCCTGCAGCCCTCTGCACTATGAACAGGCCCTTGAAGGAAACAATGGTTGAAAATAAGACCGTACAGCATCTGATCAGGTAATGGCCAACATTTATTTTCAAATCCAGCCTGGGAGTCACATCTGAAAGCAACATATTTTAAAAAAAAAAAAGGGCTTCCCTGGTGGCGCAGTGCTTGAGAGTCCGCCTGCCGATGCAGAAGACGCGGGTTCGTGCCCCGTTTCGGGA